ACACACACACACACACACACACACACACACACACACACACACACACACACACACACACACACACACACACACACACACACACATATATATATATATGTACATATGTGTTAATACGCGGTGCATGCATCCGGAAATACGTCTTTGTGATGCATAGCATCTATATATAAGTCAATGTGAGTGCAGATTTGAGTCATGGTTTCTGTACGTACAAAAATACTCACAAACCCTTTGTCTATGAGTAAGCCAGTCTATATATGGTTCTTAAACCTTAACCCGGGTTGCATATTGTCAGTTATGTATAAGAATTGGGAACGGCAAATGCTTAGCACACGTATTCCTAATTATTTTGGGGTTAAGTATCTATTTGAAATTTATCTTTAACACATCGAATGCGGGTGTCAGTGGACATAAATGTCCTCTTGATTTGTTCGTCTCCAATCAGGTCACATATTCCTAAAATCTTGTTATCCAGCTACGGGGCTTCTTTGGCACAGTACCCGAATATTCAATTTTCAGTGTGGGTTTAAGGGCCTCCAATGCCAATATGTTTGGGGGATGCCAATTCCAATACTTTCCCCATATTATATGACCCATCAACTGAACTGCACCAATATATTCCAGGTGCAGAAATCTGCGTATGAAACTATCTCCCACAAACGGTTGGGTGAATATTGACGGTTTAATCAATGCGTCCCGAATTATCATATCATTTGAACCCATCAGTTGCTCATGATCCAAAGCAAAATATTGGACGTGTCTGTCTCATTTTCCGATTCCAAACCAAAATCTATTACTGACATCAAATCAAACCCGAAATGTGTACATTACCGATTATTTCAAACCCAAACACATTTCGTACATCAAATCAAACCCGAAATATCTAGATTCCCGATTCCAAACCGAAACCTATTACTCAGATCAAATCAAACTCGAAATGTCTAGATTCCCGATTCCAAACCCAAAACAATCAAACCACAGGTAGTGCTCACACTGCACAAAACAATCAGGACAGTGTCGATGTGACTGACTTCACTGACTACACTCTGCCGTACAACCATTGGGTGTTCGTGTCTGTCACGATGCAACCAGCGACCGCGCAATCCGGTGTGTGTGTGTGTGTGTTTATGTGCTGATTTGTAGTGTAATGTTATACATTTGTACTGCAATGATGATATACTTTTGTACTGTAATGATATATGTATGTGTTGATTTGTAGTGTAATGATATACATTTGTACTGTAATGTTGATATACATTTGTACTGTAGTGATGATATACATTTGTACTGTAATGATGATATACATTTGTACTGTAGTGATATATGTATGTGTTGATTTGTAGTGTAATGATATACATTTGTACTATAATGATGATATACATTTGTACTGTAATGATATATGTATATGTTGATTTGTAGTGTAAAAATATACATTTGTACTGTAGTAATTTGTACTGATACCCTCCCACTCGTTTAGTTTCATTTCGTTTGGTTTCTATTGCCTGTGCTTGCTCGATTAATCCTCTCTGTGTGTTGTCCATGTCTTAGGGTTTTAGGGTTGGACATGTACTGATATCCTCCCACCCGTTTTGTTTTCTCTCGTTTTCTATTGCCGTCTCCGCGTACAGGCGTCAGTCGCATGTTGTACCACAAGAAACCCGAGGCAAATCTATTTATAGACGGAGTACTCCGGCAGACTATCCAACTCCCCCACGACACGCGTGCGAATAAACTGCACAACATGCGCGTCACACACCTGATGCACCTGCGCCCAATCATGCGCAGTCTCGTCGCCACGGCCAATCAGAGTGCGCAGGAGCGGCATTATAAATATAAACGCAATCTGATTGGTCGAGACGTGGACGTGGACGCGGGTGGGGTCGACTGTCGGGAAGTGATCGTATGTGTACCGGAATGGGGCGTGAATGGGTTGGGTGGTGTGTTGGGTGCCAGCACCACCACGGCTATGGCTGGGAGTGTTTATTCGTCGACTTTTGGTATGTCGGACCCGATTTCCCGTATTTTGAGGTCTTGTTTTGGATGATGCCGGTCCATTTTGGGAGGATATTGGCCTGGCCCTGATCCGAAACGGAATTATGTATATACATGTGTACAGCATACCAATGCAAATGCTATTGATAGAGCGTGGGCTGTTTTTGCGTCTGTTTTTGTGTCGCCTATGTAGTACCTCTGGCGAGAGTCCCGCAAAGGCGATACGAACACGTGAGTGACGGTTACACTTTCGTGGCAGAAGTGTATCTCCTGATGTTTCTGTTGTGTATTAGAGTTCACGACATGTGTGGTGTTAGCGGAAGATATGGAAACAAGCGTAATATTAATTACACCAGTGGACATCCAGAGTGGTGTAGAGTGACTGTGGACTTGTTATTGTTACCTACAGATATTAAAACAAGTGTGTTAGTAACCACAGTTTATTAATTTATTAGATATGACTGAGGACTTGTTATTGTTACTTACAGTCTACGACAAAGGAGATGCAAAGGACGCGTTCGCCTACAGCACCACAATGGAGAGTCGGCCTCAACCAAACACACCCACACCCAAAGGTAACTGTGTCAATGGCATATCTAATTGTGTACTTCTTGTACGCACGCTCAATGGAGGTTGTGCCAGTGGTATATCTGATTGGCCATAGGGTTGCTGATAATATAGTATCATCTCACTCACACATGCAATGCA